TATATATATATATATATAATTTTTATAATCTCAGTATCGAAATTTCTATGGAAAAAGGCAATTATTGTTGCATAAAGATACTTTTTTACTGAATAACGCTTTTTTGAATAACGCTTTTCATGTTGATATCGCTTCATGTCACAAAGTACGCAAGTTTGTCTCATTATGTAAAACTTTCTGTGATGTGACTTTAATTTTGATGGGTAGAATGGTTTTTACTTCATCGGAAAGTTTCTATTTCACAACTTGATCGGTCTTCTTGACTCCTTAATTACAAGCCGTGTATTATGGATCCGTTTTATTGCACGTTATTGTAAATCCCGTTTTAGATGATCTATAATTTGCAATAAAATTCACATATCTACATTTTGTCCGCTATTACATGTCAAATCGTTATAAATAACTGTAAAGAAGACAAGATTTTTATACTGAATGATTTTGATGAGTTTAAATTATATGTATCTATACATAGCAATTTAATAAAAGCATATTAGTAATAATTATTTAAGTAATAATTATTTAATTACGGTATTGCGGTAACTGCGATAGTATCAATTTGCGATTATTATCAGTTGTCGATAGTCAATACATACCAATATGGACGCTTTTTATATTTTGTTGAAAAGCGTATGTTTCTTTTTCGAGACTGAGATATTATTATTGCGAAATATATATACACTTATTTTATAAATAAAATTTCGAAACGTAATTATATCGTTATAATTACTTTATTAATATATTGCACGTATTAACAATTCCTGTTCGTACAAATAGAACTTGTTTCACGGTTATACAAAAAATATTTAAATTTTTTGGCTATAATATATGTGCTATAAATAAAACTCTGTGCTTCCAAGTTTATTACGAATCGTAGATTGTTTAAAGTAGATTAACGTTTTCAAGAAATGATGCATCCGAGTGTATCCGAGTAGCAAAATCGCGTGCACGATATTTGATTGGTTCGGCGCGAGTCAAATGCGGTTTTTTCGAAGCCTTGTGATCACTTTGCCTTCGTCCGGTAGGTCCCCTATAAATATCAGAAACGCGCGTTTTGCCCCGAAGGCGTTTTCGACTGAAGAGTTCGGACGGAACAACCGTAAAGGTCCTGGAACGTTAATTTATAGCCGACCGCCGCAATACCGGTAATCTAATTAGTTTAATGACCAAAAAATATTTCCCGAGTCTTTCTTAATCCGAGACAGGTAGCGTCGACTTGATTCGGCGTTCAATGTCAAAGCTTATCCGCGAAACTATGTGTGCCTCGTGAAAGTCCTTTTCGGCTTCTATGAGAAAAAGGAAACTCTCACTTTGATACAATTCACGTCATTTTGACTCGTTTGCGATAATATTTAGCGAAACGCCAGAAAAGAAAGTTTTGAACTTTAGAGTGTTAATTATAATTTTGTCAAATGCTAACAATATTTATAAGACACGTGTATTTTAGAGAAAGAAATATGTGTGTGTGTGTGTGTGTGTGTGTGTGTGTGTATATATCAGTAAAGCATTTTTTCAACTTGTGTTACAATACTTCTAATTTAAATCTGATAGTATTTAATAAAAAAAAAAATATTTAAAATTATTGACACATTTAAAAATGTAGTAACACTTTATATAATACTTGACAATAATATTTTATTTAATTTTATATTTTACAAATTAACAAACTACATATAAACTTTATACTAAGGAAAGTTAAAATCAGAGATAGGTAAAAGTACACTTTGAGTTCTGAATTGAGTCGCGGATTAATCTAAAAAGATTAATATAAAAGTTACGTATTAATATAAAAGTTACGTAAATTTCGGTTGGAATTATCGAGAACAATTAATAATTGGAATAAATGATGGATATATGTTATATTAGGCGGATACAGCTGAGCGGATCGCTTGAAAGAATATATACACGATCGCGAGTAACAATATTGCGCGACAGGCCGTCCTATACTTTACCGGTTGTTTTGTTATTGTTATTGCATTTAGCCAGGCTCGCGCGGGTTGTTTCACAAGGCGTTTTTGCTCGCGTGTCCAAAATTCCGCGCACCCTGTAACGTCGCGAAGACCAAGCGACACGCGAAACCAGATGCGTCATCGCGAAACGGATAATTATGTCGCAGTCGATAAAGGGTGACCACTTCCTCGAAACCTCCAATCATATTGTCGTCGCGTACCGTGGACTTGTCAAACCGACTCCTGCTGATGTAATACGTGCCACCACGAGATCGTACAACGTACGTGGTGCGCGCGTAAAGAAAGGACCGGATGTGCGAACAGAGCCGACGAACGTTGTTCCTCCTACTGTCGTCAATATGCACTCGCCACGTTGTCATATTTTGTCGATCCTCTCAATTGGCGTCGACTTTTTTCGAGAGTAACGAGCGCACCTGCGAGTCGCGCGTCAAGTTCCTTCCGTCCTTCAAGTTCCTTCATGTCCGTCGTCCGAATCCACGCACAAGCCCTTCCCACTTGGGACGAGACCTTTACTTTGGCAGCTTTTCTTTGACAGTGCGATTACAAAGAGAACGCGTTACAACAGTGCGTATATAGTATATGCCGATTCAACCGAATACGCACGTTATAATTATCGCCACTTCGACTTACCAGCACGTATACGGGAGAAGGTCTGACGTAATTACGAAGGCTATTAACAACCGAGAAACTGTGGTCGCGCGAGTACGCGTTGCTATTACAACTCGTCGAGAGAGGCATAAAAAGTCAACTATTACGAGCGCGAAATCGCGTGTGAACAGGCCGTCGTGTCGGCGTCGCGCCGTTGGATCATCGTGAGGAGAGCTCGATTATTAAATCTGCAAGAGAATCGCGACGCCGGCCAAAGTCCACTTAGACGGCTTATCACGAGTCTTCAAATTGAACGTCCAGATGTATGTTGGACCGCGCTTTCTGGTTCTGTAGATCGGACATTCGTATACATTCTTAGTTTCTTGCTTATCCTGTGTGATTGCCTTTACGAACACGATCGGCATCGAAAAAAATAGCTCCTTCAATCGCGAATCTGCAATGCAACCGGTCGCAATCTCCCATCGCGCACCCTCCATGTACAAACCGTTGATATAGACACCCTCGCGCGGTGGTATCCTGATTAGTGGAAGCCAAACGTGTTATTGTGTATCTTCATCTGTATGTATCGCTGTTAACCCTTTGAGGACACATTTCGAATTTTTCCAAGAAAACTCAATATCTAACATCGTGGCAACCTATTATTTTGATTTTATCACGCGAAGGCAACTTACACATATAATAATATGATAAAGGTAAAAAAATTGTCAAAAAATATCAAAAAATATCATTCAAAAGTACAATTGAATGAAAAGTGCCCGTCCTGAAAGGGTCAATTTTACGTTACCAAATACTGAGTCTTACGTAAATTCTTCCTTCTGCTTTCTGGTTACGTCGCAATACAGGCACATTTTGTCCAGGGGCCACTCGTTTTTACGAGCGGTTTGCTGCATGATGGCGGTAAGTAAGGACTGCGGATTGAAAAAACCACCCAGCCAGATCGTCGGTGGCAACTGTCGAAAGATGCGCACCGCGAAAAATTAGATTGACCACAATCGGAGACGAAAGGAAGTCAAATTTTAACGCAAAGTAAATGACAAACGTTTGCCGAGTCACTTTCTTCGATACTTGAACCATAACAAAATTTAAATTCTCTTTCCCACGCTTGAATAAAATATACGCTGATCTAATATAATTTCTCTTGTAATATCTTGCCACATATCGCAAATTGTGGTTTCTCCTTTACTCACATTAAAAGCTACCGTCCAATTCGACAGCTCGGTTATTCGATTGAACAAGTCCGCAAACCAACTCGATAATCCGAGAGTGGAGGGATAGGCGCGTATGGTCCAGGATGGTGGTACAGACTCCATGAACAAGTAATTTTGCAAATCTTCCATATCCGCGCTAATCGTGAGCTCGCCCTAAAACGGATTTGTTGTTACACCGCATAATTATTCGATAATTTTATCACGGCGCTCACCTTTAAGCCGAGATCTAATTCTTCTAGAGATCTTTTTAGTTCCTTACACAGTATGTTCATATGTTCGCATTCTTGGAAAGCGACTATAACGAAAGGACTACGATCTTCCGTCTAGGGAGAATCAAGTTTGTCTTATTTATTCCCGGTAAAAGTAAAGTTTGATGTTATAAAAATAAAGAAGATGAAATCAAAATTCGCGCATCTAAAATAGCAATGAGTCAAGTAAAACAGCCATGTAAAACATAAAACAATAGATATAATTGCAAAGAGAATATAAGAGATGATTGCGATACTGTTAATTATGACACCGCGATATATTCCAATTATACAGAATTGATAGTCATAATTTTTTTATAATGTTGTGAACATGTAATTAATGTTAATGATTTTATAACTATTGCTTTTTAGCCTTAAAATTTAATCAATCAGTTTAATATATCAGTTTAATATAGATTATACTTATAATGGTAATGTCTAGTAGAATATTTAGTAATAGTTCAACAATTCACCTTGTTCATCAAGTCTTGTATATTAAACTCTTCGGGAAGCTTATCCAGTATATCCTCTATTATAACTTTCACCTTCTCTTCTTTCGATAACAGTCCGCTAATGTCGATACTATCCCGTGGTTGCATCCCCCAAATTGTTTTAAACAAGTTTTCTGTCGTATTTGTGAGAAATCCTGTACAAACAAGTTTCGTTGTGTGTTAATCGTAAATGTAAATCAAGGGAAATAAATTAACGATTAAAATAATTAAGAAATTTTACCAATCTCCGCGTTCGGATGAAGGCCGTATAGGATAGGACTCTCCGGCGGCAAATAATCTTCTACATATTGATGATAGCCCGTATAATCGGTACTGGGTGGCACTATAAAACCCGGAGCCAAATATAATTCACCCTCAACCAACTCTGGTTGCAGGTACTCTAAGAGATATGTTCGGCATAATCTTCTGTCCCAATCATCGGTTATATGACCGCCATACATGATTTCGCCAAATAAATAGCGTAAATTTTCCCAAGGTATCTTAGTATTGCTCTCGAGATAATTCAACAGTACTGATGCACTGATAGTCAAGTCGCCAACATTGAAGGGATACAACTATGTATTAGGACATGTTAACGAGATGTTAGTAATAAAAGAGTAAATGTTTATTCGTCAAGAGATGCAATGTCTCT